CAATGGCAGCCTTCAGAGGAAAAACAAGGAATAAGTCCAATTTTGTTTACCTATTTTGTTTTTTAAACTGAGAATTAAAGTGGTTTTGGCTTAGTCTGAGTACATTAAAGAAATGTGGTTGACCCCATAAAATGCTAGAGTTCTGATCTCTATTGTATTTGGCAAGGGTCGGTTACTTATATTTTATAATCGAGTTAGAAGATTTTCTTCTTGAATGTGTGCGGTGTGGGAAGATGCTTTTCTTAAATAAGGAAAATAGCCTTAGGAATTGAAGTCTGGGTGGAATTATAATTCACAGTTTGCCAGTCACATTTCATGTGGTTGTTAAACTTTGGCCCCATAACATCTTCGCTTAGAGTGGTCCATAAGCTTATTTTATCTGGATATGATATATTCAATATAACCTGTGTTTTGTCCTTCATCTGCTGTGGATCTACAGTTCCTTTCCATTTATTTAGAGAAGTAGAAAGGAACTTGACTACCTCAGAAAGTCTTTTGAATGATCGCTCATGTTTCTTATTAATTTCTGAAACACTAAATGAACAGTCACAAGTGATGAGCTTTTGGTGTTTTGATTTTCCTTTAACACAAAGGCAATAGATTATCCACATACCTCTCAGAATATAGCAGGGGATGGCAAGAAAAAGAGAGTGTATCTATGTAGTTTTTTAATGTAATAGCTTCCCTGTGGCTGTTGATAACTTGTGAATGGAATCCTTCCCAAAGTTTGATTTGTGCATTGTTGATATAGACATAGTAGAGTGAACCAGACTGTCCTAGTCTTACACAGCCAACTCCCACCTCCTCATCGTTCTGCCTTACTTCATAATGATTTGTTTTGCACGTCTGAAATTTTCAGTGCATACTGTAAGTCTGGGGATTACTTTCAGAATGTTTAGTATCCCTGGTATCCATCCTCTTTGAGTTTCCCAGTCCTCATGGAAACCAGATGCTCCCCAGGCAGGAGTACACCTCCCTTTGAGGGTTACAGACCATTCTTTTCTGATAGATATGGGTGTGGTAGCTCACATCTAATCCCAGAATTTAGGATGGTGAGACAGGAGGATTGTTGTGAGCTTGAGGCCAGCCTGAGCTACACAATGAATTCTAGGTCAGCCTGGAACTACAGAGTAAGACCTCATTTCAAATAAAAAGAAACAAAACAAAGAGGGCAGCAATTCTCCAAACCTATGAACACTGCCTGAAAGTATCTGCATTTTAGCAGAAAATGTTTTATATCTAAATGGCTGAGAAGCCTGTAAAAAAGTATTCGGTGTCAATCCTCATCTGAGAACAGCAGATTAAAACCACACCAACGCAACACTGTTCTCTGCCAAAATGACTGAATTTAGTAAGACGATTGATACTAAGGACAAGGACTTGTCAACTGGGAGTAGAAAGTGGCATAGCTCCTGAACAGCTTTTAAAGTAAATGGAAGCCTTCTTTAGTGGCCTGGAAATTCTGCCCTTAAATGCATGCTCAAGAGAATGAATACTGGGGTCTTCCTGTCTATACTATAGGTGTACATACAGGTAGATACTTGTGTGTGTGTGTGTGTGTGTGTGTGTGTGCGCACGCGCACACGCATGTATTTATGAATTCTCACAGACCATTGAGAATAATAGCCCCAAATGGGAAAAAAAACAAAAACAAATGCATTATTAGAATGGTTAAGTTTGGTTTCCTCACAGAATAACATATAACACATCATGAAAAGACTGAGCCGCTCTATGCAACAACACTGAAGAACTTCATAGTAAAGAGCAAAATAAATGAAATAAAATAAGCAACATGATTCAGAAGAATAGGCAAGATTATGGCAGTGAGAATAATAGCCAACCATGGGTACAGAGATGTCACCCAGGAAGGGGCTGGACAGAGCTTTCTGAGGCAATGAAAATGTTTTTTCTAAATTTTATTTGCTTATTTTAAATTACATTGTATATATGTGCATGTCTGTGTGTGGGTGTGTACATGAGTGCAAATATCTGGAGAGAAGAAAGAATGTCGAGTCTTGAGTAGCCAGCAAGGGTGCAGGGACCTGAACTAAGGTCCTCTGCAAGAGCAGTAATCACTCTTAACCTCTGAGCCGTCTCTCTAGTCCCGGTGAAAGTGTCCTTAATCATGACTTTGGTGGTTACTACATAATAGTATATACACACGTGCATTTCTTTATTTTTGAAACTGTATTTTAATTACAACATTCTCCCTTCCCTTTCCTCCTTCCAATCCCTCTCATATACCTCTCCCAGCTCTCCTTCAAACAACTGCATTTCTTTCGGGGATAGGCTGACTTTATATACTCATCTTGTCTCCATGTGCCAACAGACCTGGGTACATTTAACTGTGTGCTTCAAAGGGAGATAGTGCATATAAAATAAATAAATGTAATGCATCTCTGATCACAGTGTTGTAGGAGATATGCTAAGATATAAACCCGTCAGCTGCTGGAGGATGCATGAGTCTTTCTGGCAGCTGTGTGTTCATAAAGACCATGCATCAAGGTTCCTAGGGCTCTTGGGGACAGTGACAGTCAGGATATGGTGGCCCCAGATGACCAGAGGAGTAGAAATGAGGAGACTCTTTCATGACTCCCACCCTCAACTCCCCTGTTCATATCTCTTGGTCCTTGTTTCTTGGCTAAGCTATGAGCTGGGCTGTGGAAGGTGCAAAGGAGAGGCATTGGGAGGGCGTTCATGTCAACTGCTATAAAGGAGGCATTCGTGGGTCAGAAGATGGAGGACCTGATGATCAACAGCAAGGCTGGATGAAGACCCTTTATGAACCTGGTGACCCAGGAAGGTTCTGATTCCCAAGAAGTGATCATGGGATATGTGGTAGAAAAGCCACTGAATAGGAGAAGTCTAACGATCATAGCCCAGTAGAGACGTGAGCGAGCAATAGAAGAGTAGAGATTTTGTCCAGTGCTTCTGATCATGACTGGCTGGCTACCCAGGCCTCCGGCTTTATTTGGATCGCTTGATAAGGTCTTTGCTTGTACTGTGTAAGCTCCAACTGGAGTTGGCACTCTTCCTGGTCCTTCATGGTGGTTTTCTTGAGAAGAATGAGTTATGGGGGAGTATTTTCAGTTCATGCCACACACAAATGACTGTTACAGCACAGCACACAGCCTGATGAAGAACAAGACCGTCAGGTGCTGGGAGTTCTTCCGGGAGTAGTCTAGCTAACCCTGTGTCCAGATACTTCCCAGTTGACAGTCTATAGAGCTCATATAACACATATGCACTAATTGTTCATTTGTAGGTCAGGCACCAAGTTCCATTTGTTCCTGTTGTTAACTAAAAAAAAAACTGCTTCTCACACAACATATACTTACATGGAAGCATCCTTATGGAACCTAACACCTCAGACAATGGATACACACAATGGAGAAAACTTAAAAATAATAATTTAGAAAGCATGTGATTTAGATGAAATATGTACAACATAGATAAGAGTGAATTCTTAGAACATCTTCTGGTATTCATGCTTAAATAATGTTTTCTTAAATAATGAGTTATTAAGGGAAGTATTTCACTTTTATGTGAAGATTCCGTAATACTTTTCTAACATTGTGTCCAGTCTTAATTTAGGAAATTAATATTTTAAGACCCTTCATAAAAAAGATTGCAGAAGAATTCCTGATGGAAAGACATAAATATTACTTGACATAGAAGCTCTAACAGCCAACATCTGTTAAGTGTTAAGCTTCACAGCCCACACTGGATCAAATAAAAATGGCTACTAGTTTTTCATTTTTAACTTATTCATTCTGTTTAATTTTTCATTACCTTTACAAAGGACTGTGTAAGCTTTTGTTTTAGTTTTTAGCCACCATGTTTGTACATTCTCTCTCAGTTCATTTCGGTTTCCTCTGGGACTGGCCCACAGGGCAGTCTCTCTGTTTCCAGGCATTTGTTCCAGAATCTTCTATGGCTGGATATTTCTACTTGGGTATCACAATGTGCCCTTTAATTTTGAAACATCATCTTCGGGCACTCTCCATTCACAAATCCTTTCCTCTCTTCTCAGACTAAAGCCCTCCAGATGCCCTTGAGGCCTCTCCCCTGTTTTCTAGCCTTGAGTTGCCCAGCCAAGGGCCACACTTTGTCAGCTGTTCTTTCTGAAAATGAGCTGTGCCACCCTCATCTTCCTGCTTATGTTTACTGTCACCCACATGGTTGTCACTGTCACCATGTAGCTCACCGTCCTTCAGTGGCTCATTTTATGGTCTCTGCTCAACAAGCCATATGCTGGCCAGGAGTCTACCATTGATAGCATTGCTTTCCTACTCCAAACCTGTCAGTATAGCTTCCTGTTCTCAGGAAGCTCAGCCTGGCGAGTACCAGCTCTGTGTCTAGCTGAAACTTATTTCCAGTCAGTGGCTTGACTCACCATTTTCCTTGGCCAGTCTCTGTGCTCATGCTTCACTCCCTACCCACATGAATATTCCTTCCATCCCTTTGCCCCTACGCCCAGCTTCCACCCTAGAGAAGTCTCACACCCTCCCCAACACTGTCTATAACCTCTTTCAGGGGCACTTGGCTGTCTGTATAGGCAGTTTCAGAACTGAATGTCAGTTTCTAATTGTTTAGAACTATTCTTTACTAACTTTAGAGGTTCATATATTCTCTGTGCTGCTGGGCTGTCAGTGTTTGCAGAATAATCCTTACCTGTGTGCTCCCTAACACTCAGTGAACACGAAAATAAAAGCTCTGTGAAGATGGCCATGTTGGTTAGCTTTGTTTGCTAGTCCATTTCCGGCACCTAAGACAGAACCTGGAGTGTATAGTATGTGTTTCAGGACTGAGGGTACAACTGCGGCTGTTTAATGAAGATCTGGTCATTTTAGTCTTAGTTCATTTACTCCTGCCGCGTTCTCCCTTTGTTTACTTTAACTGACATTATTGCAGTGAGGCAGAACGTGAGCATGAGAACAGCTGGAATCTGCACACCAGGGCCTGACTCATCCTTCTGAACTGCCTTTGCTCTCTTGCAGATATTAATGAGTGTCAGCTACAAGGTGTGTGCCCTAATGGTGAGTGTTTGAATACCATGGGCAGCTACCGATGTTCCTGCAAAATGGGATTTGGGCCCGATCCTACCTTTTCAAGTTGTGTTCGTAAGTAATAATCTGTTTGTCTCTCTATATTTTGATCATGTGTCTATGGGGTTACCCAAAAGGAGAAAATGTTCAGCTGGATACTGAAAATATGAAAGACAATGTCGTTAATGAAAATGACAGGAGCAAGGAACCAACCCAATTTGGTAAACTAAGTCCATACTGTGGACTTTCTCCAAGATGCATTTTGACTGCATTCAAAAATATTTCACAGCAAAAAATCCAGGATAGGTCATAATCACAATGAGAGAATAGAATTGGATAAAAACGAAAGTTTGCCAGGCAGTAGTGGCACATACCTTTGATGCCAGCATTAAGAAAGCAGGTGAGGCCAGCCTGGTCTACAGAGCAAATTCCAGTACAGCTGGGCTACACAGAGAAACCCTACCTTGAACTGCACCACCCCCCAAAAAGGGAGGGCGGGAAGAAAACAGTTATTGAAATAGGTGTATTAGTCCTTTGTAATTCTGGGAGATGAAAACCGATTTTTTTCCTTCATAAATAGTTAAACCTTCTTTAGGCTAGATCAAACTTGGCCTCAGCTTCTGCCTTTAATTATTGCAAGTCCTGAGTCATAGCAATCTGTTTTTATGAGGGTTCACTGTACTTTCTCATTTGGAAAAGCCTGAAAAAACATTCTGAAACCCAGGCATTTCAGATTTTCTGGTTCTGCTCTAACATATTCTGAACCCACAAAAGGACCCTAAAGTGACACTACTGTTTTGAGGGAATGTCTCTGGGATTTCCTTTCCTATCTAGTAAAGGTAAAAGTCTCTCATGGAGACACACCTTCTAATACTGAAATACGGTTCTGCCAGGGAGGCCCGTCTTCATGAAAATGAAGCCAGTTTAGTCATTAGGGTATTAATATGATCAGTATAGATTATGTAGTCTGTATGCCAACTAGATTGGATTCACCTGAGGTTTTAAAAAAAGGCCTCAAAAGCAAAGCCTCTGTGTGTGTGAGCTCGTGCACACACTCAGGCGTGCGTGCGTGCAGATGAGAGAATACCTCAGGCACTATTTATCTTGCTGTTTTGAGACAGAGTCTCTCATTGGCCGGGAGTTTATCAAGTAGGCTAGGATGGCTGGCCAGGGATGCCCAGGGATCCCCCTCTCTCTTCCTTCTCAGCCCTGGAGTTATAAGTAGGAGCCACAACGCTGGATTTTTCTTCCATGAATTCAAGCGATGAGACTCAGGTTCTCATGCTTGTGGGATGAGCAGTTTACCCACTAAGCTCTCTCCTTAGCCTTAAAAGCAGATTAAAAACATTATTTCATATTCTAATGTATATGGGTGTTTTGTCTCCACGTATGTCTGTGTGCTGTGTATATACCTGGAACCCAGAGAAGGCAGGAGTTGGTACTGTATCTCCAGAGACTGGAGTTGTAGACATTTGTGAACCAGCATGTGGGTGCTGGGAATAGAACCCAGGTCCTCTGGAAGTGTAGCCAGTGCTCTTAACCTCTCCAGGCCCTCAAAGGCAGAATTTTAAAAGATAACAATATTTCATCGTAAGCCTTTTATTAGGAAAGTAGATAAACAATACCCTTAAAAACTGTATACAATTACACAAAGTTTTAAAATGCCACAGCAGGATGAGGCAACTGGAGGAGCGATTCTGCATGTTTCTGTCTAGCGAGGCTCTCCGAATTTCTTCTAGTGTGGACTTGGCGTTTATGAAGCCATATCCTTCTTTCCCTGCCTCGCGTTTGATCAAGTGAAAACATTCTTCCTGATGACATGGTCCTTCAGTTTTAGGGGTTTATCTCTGTCTAAGCCATGATATATGGAAAGGATAAAATGAAGTAATGCAAAAATGACTGTCCTCTTCTGTGAATGCATGCATCTTGAAACATTGTTACTAATTACTCCTGTTTTCCTTTTAAAAACTGACAAATGCAGATTAGGAAATTGTGCAAGTAAGTCTGTTTTGTTTTTTTCCTGTGTTCTTTTATGGGGGGTTCTGATCTGAAGCAGTCAGGCACCCAACCCCGGGGGAATTTTTGGAGGTGACTTAATTAGATTGTAAAGTTTTTTTACAAGTCATGTTTGAAAACTAGCGTAAGGATTTAGAATGTTTGGGCACAAATAAAACTGTAGCTAATATCCAGATAATTAGTGGTGTCTTTCAGCTACTTTGAACTACATAAACAAACATCCAATCAGGTTTCTAATTTAAGCAGAAATTGTTGTAAAGAACTTTGAGTCAGAATTTGTTGTAAATGACTTTTGACTGGACATAGTCTGGCTAGAATTCTTACATGGAAGGTTGCAGATTAGGTAAACTTGGAGAATTGGCCATAGACTTGTGAAAGCTTGACAAGACCTGATGTCTAGCATGAAGGGCAGACCTCCAGGTTTTAATGAAATCGTAGAAACCTGCCAATGTGAATTTTGAAACGCTTGCACAGTTCCTTAGAATTTATTTTCCTTGTCATTGCCCAAATAATTCTGAACTTATTAAACAACCCTCCATTCTTATTTGAAAAATAAATAATTCAATTTTACGGTTCAGCTGCAACAGCTGAAATGATAAGTATTAAGAGATATTTATTTGTTGCTAGTTAAGTGTTCCAGTTTAGAATTTAGAGTTAAGGTTGAGCTCTTTTCCAGCATGGTCCACAGATGAATTTCTTTTTTTCTCTGAATTTACCACATGTGGTATCATGGATTTGTGTCCAGCTCCTTTGGAATGTGTGATTTGTACCTGTTTGTCCTGACTTGTTCATGAAGAAACTGTTGGAGAGTCTGGAGACAGTTGGAAAGACTCAGACAAAAACTGTGATGCTCTCAATAAGTGGGGACAGATAGTGTTTCCTCAGAGTTGTGGGAGAGTAGCTCAGGAGTTGAGGAAATGAGCAAATGCCTAGACATACACACGCGCATGCACACATATGCATGCACTTGTGCGTGTGCACTCTCCAGCCAGGGCTTGAGTGTGCAAGCATGTGGTAAAGACTGACAGCATTTGCTTCAGCAGCATGAAATTAGGGTACATCCAGGCCATGAAATGTGTGGCTGGCTTTGTGAACTTGAAGAAGAGCACTTGGCAGTAACTAGCGAGCACTGGGAAGCTCTCTGTGTTCCCGAATGCGGCAAGGTGAACACCCTCTGCATTCCGTGACTCCGGCCAAAGGGTGCAGCCATTTGCTTTTCTTGCCCTGCCCACTTTCTGCCCTTGACTTCAATGTAGTCAAAAAGAAGAGAGCAGGAGGATGCTGACATTTGCTGGCTCTCTTGACCTGGGCTTGTGGCTTAGGGTGCTGGGACAGTATACTCCAAGCCTGTCTTATGGGGAAAAGGGCAAAGTTTGGGCTCATCACAGTAATTTGAAGAAAAGCAGACTACATCGAGGAAGACTTTCTGCCTTCCGAAACTGCACTTGTTTTTCTGCAGGCATTTAAGCATCCCACAATTACCGCTGCTGAAGCTCAGCAAAGGCCCCCAGATGAAAGAAATCTGCCTCGGGGCTGTTGAGGTTTTATATATTCTCCATCCCTCGACTTGGAGTCAATTGACAGAAACTGGAAGCCAAGGAGGACATGTACTCATGGACTTCTGCCATCACGAAACAAAGAAGGGCAGCTTCTTTCTAAAAAGCCAGTCACGTTTATATATATGATTTCTAATTAGTTTCCCCACCCGCTTTATCAAATGTGTCATTATTGTTCATGTCACACACACTGGAAATTGGAGCCAAGAGAGTTTTTGAAACTTCTTCAGATCACATATCTAGTAATCAAGAGTTGAGATTTAAAGTTAGGATTTTGGGCATTCAGATTTAAGGTTCTGGGCCAGCAGCTGATCAACTGCAATCTGTGGATTGAATCTGCCTGCTGTCTGGTTTTTTAAATAAAGTTTTATTGGCACATAGGTATCTCTGTTGACATGTTTGTTTAAGCCTGCTCTTGTAGTAATCATGGTGGAGTTAGGATGTTGGAACAGAGCTGAGAAGCAGTCTGGTAGAACATTTGGGGACAGTAGGATATTTGCATCCATGCTCCCTAGAGAAGACATTAGTCAGTCCAACAGAGGAACTGAACTTTTAAATACATTTCATACAAGCTTATTCAGTAATATGTGCCTTTTGCTTGATGTATTGAACTGCATAGTTCTAGATCAGTGATTCTCAACCCTTGGGTCGAGACCCGTTTGATCGTCAAACGACTCTTTCACAAGGTTTGCCTAAGATCATCGAAAAACACAGATAATTTACATTATGATTTATAACAGTGGCAAAATGACAGTTACGAAGGAGCAACAAAAATAGTCTTATGGTCGGGGTCACCACAACACGAGGAACTGCATTAAAAGGCTGAAGCATTAGGAAGTCAAGAACCACTATCCTAGGTTCTGTTTTAGCACTTTGGAAAGTGGAATAAAGGATCTCCTAACCCTGAATCAGGCTTCCTGGGGACTGAGTGGTCCCTTCGTTTGATTGCTTCCTGGGGACTGAGTGGTCCCTTGGTTTGATTGCTTCCTGGGGACTGAGTGGTCCTTTCGCCTGATTGGTTGTTGCCCACATCACCCCGTTTGCTCAGGCTATCACGTGGAGCCTGTCAGCTTGGAGTCTTTCATCTCATTTGGCTTTCAAGGAAGTCATTATGTCTTCATCATCTATCTTGAGTTTCCTTTTTTCTCCTCCCTCCTCCATGGTTACCTCAGCTCGGGGACCCTATCTCTCCTTATAGGACATGGCACCATGACCTGTGGGATGGGCAGATCTGTGCTGTTTGCTCCCAAATAATAGTGGAAATGATGAAAGGCATGGTGGCGGTAGTCTTTTATTGTGTACTTAGTAAGTGCCTGACCCTGTGGTAGGCCCTTTGTGTAGACTGTCTCATGTAGTATTTAGATCTCCCTGGGATGTGGGCTGTTATTCTTCCTGTTTTACAAGTAAAGGAACAAGGGCAGAAAAGGGTTAAAGTGAGGTTCTTTCAGAGTGTCACCTGGTCCATAAGCCACAGAATTCTGTCCTTCTGTAGACTGAGTCAGGAAGAAGGACATAGTCTGAACTGACAAGCAACCATTATTTAATTTTGGAGATATCACAAGGTTTGTAAAGGTTTCATAGCCTTCCAAAATCATATCACTGGCTGGGCACCAAGCATTCAAACACAAGAGGCTGTGGGTTGCATTTCCCATTCAGAAAACAACAACAATGAGTATTAATTGTCATGGGACAATGCCAGGAATATGAGCTGGTCTGTTCTGAATTTCCCATGACCCTGGGATCTAGAAGCAACACTAATGTGATTAATTTTATAATCAAGCCCCATTGTGTATAAAATAGGCTCTGGTGGGATGTCTTGACATTGCTTCTGTGTGAGTGTGGGTTATAAATAAAACACAGTCATTTGGGGAAGGAAATTCTAGAGCAAAACCCTCTGTGAGCTACATGAGAGTTATGTGTAGATTCTGTATGCACTTACATGCAGGCACACTCTGATGTGCACATGTGTATTATGTGAGCAACATCAATCATTCCAAGGGCTTACTCCCCTTTAGGAGTCTAATACTCTGCTGCTGTTAAGCTGTCTTTTACTTTTTAGTCTGTAACCTTTGACCTTTCATAGTTTATCTGCACAAAAGCCAGAAAGGAAGTGGGAAGTGGGAAAGTTCCAGACTTTTCTGTCTGCCCACTTCCTTTAGAAGCAACAGGAGAGTAGGCTTTACTAGACATTTTGTGGAGGTGATTTTGCTTGTTTACTCTGTTCCTACCAGAGACAGAACTGACCTCCCTCATGGCCCTGTGCAAGCCAGGGAAGGGCTTTGCCATTGATCCGTGCCCTCAGCATGTGTGTGGGTTTGAAATCTGCTTTTTCTGTCTGCCATTTATCCTCCAATCTCAGGTCCCTTGTAAATGTCTTCACTTTGCTGAACTTCTACTACTAAGTGATGATCCAGTTAGGCACAAATGTGCTTGATAGAATAGAGATAGCTGGGTTTTGTATTATCATAGGCATCTGAACATGCATTATGTGTCTACCGTGCACCAAGCATTTAGAATGTCACATATGGATATGACCCTATTCTTCATAAGTAAGAAAGTTACTGAGGCTTTACCAGTATATAATTTAGCATTCTTTTTAAATAAACAGAACCAACAGGCTAAGTATATCTGTGCATGAGCCAATTCCTTGAAATAAATACCTGATCCCATATACATTATAAATATTAGAGTATTCTTTCTTGAGTGTTAATGCACAATATGCATTTATAAATGTACATACACGCATGTCATGCATGTTCTTGCATAAATAAGGGGAGGTAGTACTTATTTCATGGGATTGGTGGACATAGGCACAGACACTGATGACCCTAAAATCTACAGAGTAGATGACAGACTGTCCACTAAGGAAGAGCTGACATAGAAGCCTGCTTCTGACGGGCACTGGCAGAATTTATTCTTGCTTAATGTAAATCAGTCACTTTTTCCTAATAAATTTGCCAGCTAATTGGACAAAGCCCAATAAAGGATAAATATCTTCGGTCAAAATCCTCTGATTTAAATGTTAATGTCACATAAAATAATAACAAAACCCAGCCGATCATCCAGTCTAGTGGTTGAGTATCTGGGTAGCATTGCTTAGCCTTGTGGGTACACAAAATTAACCATTATTGCCAATTAAAATGAGTTTTTCGTAAACCTGTAAGATTGTTACATAAATTAAAATATGAAAAAAATAAGGGTGAGGAAAGGCAAGTGTATTAATATTGTTGTTGCTGTTGTTTTGATAAAACACTATGACCAAGGCCCCTTAAGGAAGACCAAGTTTAATTTGGTTTAGACTTCCAAAGGGTTAGAGTGCATAACATTGGGAACAGCAGGGGCAGCAGGCAACAGACATAGCCATAGGACCAGGAGGCTGAGCCCTCACATCTTTAAAAAAACAAACTTATTTTACATACCAGTCCCAGTTCCCTCTCCCTGGCATTCCCCTGCTCCCCCAACCTTCTCCTCCCTACCCCACCTTCCATCCACTCCTCAGAAAGCTTAAGTCCTCCCATGGGGAATCAACAGACTGTCACATCACTTCTGGAACAGGGCCTTCCCCTCGCCTCTGTATCTAGGCTGAGCCAGGTATCCCTCCATAGGGAATGGGCTCCCAAAAGCCAGTTCATGCACTAGAGATAAATACTGGTCCTGCTGCTAGTGACCCCATAAACTGCCCAAGCCACACAACTGTCACCCACAGTCAAGGAGCCTAGTTTGGTTCTATATAGGTCCCCCAGCTGTCATTCCAGAGTCAGTGAGCGCGTACTTGCTCGTGTCAGCTGTTTCTGTGGGTTTCCCCATCATGGTCTTAACCCCTTTGGAGAGCTCAGGTCCCGAACCGCAAGAACAAAGCAGGGGAAGGAAACTGGAAGCTGTGAGTTTTGTTTGCCCTCAAAGCCTGCCCCCAGCGACATGCTTTCCCCGGGAGAGCTTTACCGCCAACCCTTCTCCCGAACAGCACAGCCAACCGGAGACCCGGTGTTCAGGTGTTCAAATGCCATAGACCAGAGGGTACGTGTCCCATGTAAACCATCGCAGCAAGTTCCTGGAAATTAGGGGAACAGGCAAGAGATCACCCACACTTTGGAGCCAGCCGTGCCCCTTGCATCTCCCTCCACCGTACACCTAAGTTATTCAGATTAGAGCACCTAACCTGGAAAGTCAGTCCTGCTGGAAAGGTGGAACTGCGCATGTGCGTCCGAGCAAGATGGGCAGGAGGTTGGGTTGAGTCGTGGGTACCAGGGGCTAGACAGAAGGAAGATGGAGATGATACCATGAGAGAGAAGAGATACGGCCCAAGATGGTGCAACAGACCTGAGACCGTTTGGTCAGGGTTGACTTGTCGTGGATCACTTGCCCCAGCTACACATGCTTTAACTTAAGAAATACTCATCTGTCTGCCATTTATAGTCTTTGGCCTTGGGTGAGGATTCCTGAGCTCCCACCAGCTCTCCAACTGAACAGGGCAGTGGCTGATCTGTGGTACTAACCAGGCTGACTTCCCATGGTGCCTGGATGTTCACCAGTTGTTGACCTGGAACCGCCCCGGCAGCCCAGTCTAGAGAAACAATGGGCCATGGTTGTGATTAATCATAGATGACTAAGTTTGTTGGACAGGTTTGTGGAAATGCTTAACTTATACACACATCCTATATTGATATTTGTTACAAATAGAATCCAGGCAGGGACAGGAATAACTAGTTATAGCATTCGGTGCTCTGACGCCAAGAGTGATTTAATGAATGGACTCTTAGACAAAAAGAGTAATTCCCCTAATCTCGATGGGTTTATCTTAAAGCATGATCTCTCATCCACCCTATAAGGGCCATCTTATTTTAACGTAAAGGTGGTATGGCTGTTTCTTCAGTGACATTGGGCTTTGTCTCTTTCCCCAGCGGATCCCCCTATGATCTCAGAAGAGAAGGGGCCCTGTTACCGCCTTGTCAGTCCCGGAAGGCACTGCATGCATCCGCTCTCTGTTCACCTCACCAAGCAGATCTGCTGTTGTAGTGTGGGCAAGGCCTGGGGACCACACTGTGAGAAATGTCCCCTCCCAGGTACAGGTAAGCCATGGCCGGCTACACACACACACACACACACACACACACACACACACACACACACACACACACACACACACACACACACACACACAGATGTTCCCAGGCACAGGAACAAAACTACTTCAGCAGCAGCTTGGGTCATTTTTGGTTTCCGAGTTTAGTTTTGAATGGCATAATATGTTTGTATCATTTCTGAAGAAAACATAGCAGCAGAAGCTCACATCAAAAAAAAAAAAAGATGTTCAGAGGAATTCCCCATTATTTCTGGGCAACAGTAGACTTCATTTTGAATGTTAAGTCAAGAACATAAACCCTTGCATGTTATGCTCAGCTTCCAGAACTCACAGACTGATATTAAAGTTTAGAAACCAGGAAGCTGTACGGGGCCATGTGCTTTGCTGATGGTCCACCACCCAGCGTTTCACAATAACGGCCTTGTGGACATTGACTTATTTACTTGGCTACTGAGATTGAACTTGATTTCTTCAGTCAGAAATACAAAGAAGTGTATTCAGTTTTGTATTTGTGTTGCAAAGATAACACTAAAGGAGATCTTGCCAAAACCACTATGAACTTTGAAGGGGGGTCAAGTGTTATAAAGTTAAGTCTTTACCCCTCAGTTAGTTTCATAATTATCCAGAGCTCCGAGGGGTAAATTTCTCTAGATACCTTACTTTTAAACCAATAAACTCACAAGCAGACTCAAAGGAAGTTTAATGGAAGATAAAGAGACATGACCTGCAAGCCCCACCCATCATATGGTCAAGGAAGGTGTAGTCTCTCTTTCACTGGCTTGGTTTAGCTTCAACTGACACTAAATTGCTTAGTCTAGAGAAACTTCCCATGTAGGGAAGTGCAGTAAATCTCTAGAGCCGTGTAATGTCTTAAAGTAGCAAATTACACAACAGAGAACAGAATTTGGATGTACACTTCAGTATCATAGTTCACCTTTGGTATTGGTTATAGTCAAAGGGAACAATTAAGACAAAAGTGATATGTTGGCCGGGTGGTGGTGGCGCACGCCTTTAATCCCAGCACTCGGGAGGCAGAGGCAGGCGGATCTCTGTGAGTTCGAGGCCGGGCTGGACCGACAGCCTCCAAAACAATACAGAGAAACCCTGTCTCGTAAAAACCATAAAAAAAAAAGGGATATGTTGGTGGTGGTGGTGGTGGTGAGTTAGTAAAAGGATGATGTTAGACTCCTCCCACAGGCTCTGGTGCCCTGCTGTGTAGTCTAACACACTGACCACCAAAAAGCTTTGCTTTCATAAACCCATTTCTCTTTAAGTTCTGCTTTGACAGTGTCTTAACCCTTACATGAAGTGTAGCCAAGATGGGGATTGCATGTCAGGGCTGCTTCCCAAAGTACAGTAACAAAATCTGAAAATGGTATTAATGATACAATTTTCGTTCTTAAGTAAGTTTTGCTCCCGTCATGACTTTAATTAAATATGCGCTTAGGTAGACAACCATGCCTTGTTCTGAAGTATTCACTTTTTAAAGACTTCTCTGTCCCAGTTGATCCCACAGTTAAGTGTCTGATCCCTAGAAAAGCAGGATTTCAGTATGCTTTAAAGGAATACCGTAGACTTTCCTCTTTCTCAAGGGATAATTTTAGGCCCAGTACATCTAACATAGTTTCTTGTTCAGTGAAAGCGAGAAATGATTTATTTTACTTTTGGTTTTAAAAGTAGAAACAAAAACTCGACCCTAAGCCCCCTTGTTTGCATTCGGTAATTTGCTTCCAACACCAACAGCCCAGGAATTATGTGGAGTTTGCCTCTGCCACACACCACCAACCACCATTGTCTTTTCTCTCCACCCTTGCAAACCACACCGTACCCAGTCTGCTTGGAGGGAAAGATTCATTTCAAAGATTGCTTTTTCCTGGCGAGTGTGGTAGTTCCATGGTACAGAATGTCCCATTGTCCTCTGGCTAGTGAGGCGGGCCAGGTTTGTCTAGCTGTCAGGCCTGTCTGTTTACACAGAGAACAGCACTTGCTCTGGCGTTTCTTCCCTGCTGTGGCTCCCACCTGTAGCCTACTTGGTGGATTTCCTCTCACTGTCTGGAAGACCTTTTAAAAAGCACACCCCTCATTGCCCCTTCTACACCAGTAACCCCCACACACTCCAGCTGTAGCACTCCATTCCGGCTGAGTCCTTGAGTTTGTCAACTGGAAGCAATTCAGCAGGGTTTCAGTACCCCGTTTTCCTAAAAGTAATGTTTGTCCTTTAACTAAGATGTCCACTAGGCTCTTTGTTAATAAGCAGTGAGAGCACAGAAGCAGAGGGAAAGGAGAGAACCTGGCTATTGTTAATATTATGAACTCACATATGAGACGGGTGTCACCTGTACTTAAGATGACTGCTAGTGTGTATCTTTTTATGTAATACAGTTTACATCAGTAGTTTAGTCTACATAATGGTATATTGGCTACTAGCATATAAATACAATATATAAAATTCATGCTAAAAATATATATATTATGTAATTTATATTGTATATATATACATGCGTATGTATATATGCTCTAATTGGGTAGGATGGATGATTAATAGGTGAATAAATGTTTAAGGTGAAAGTAGAATTTTTCCCTGTAATTGTACAAGTGTATCAGGAACTTAAGCAATTTGCTTATGTTTTGCATCTAATTCTAAAGTTTTGAAATGTACCTGTATTATCAGTGACTTATTAAGAGATACTCAACATGATATTTTCCTCTGTATAAGTTTGCACTGTTAGATTTTTAAAAGGAATATTTTCCCATCCCAAATCTAGCTGCTTTTAAGGAAATCTGTCCTGGTGGAATGGGTTATACGGTGTCTGGCGTTCATAGACGCAGGCCAGTCCATCAGCATATAGGTAAAGAAGCTGTGTTTGTCAAGCCAAAGAACACTCAACCTGTTGCTAAAAGTACTCATCCTCCACCTCTCCCAGCCAAGGAAGAGCCAGTGGAGGCCTTGACCTCCTCGCGGGAACACCGGCCGGGAATGGCGGAGCCCGAAGGTGAGCTTGCATGCCAGGTGTGGGTTCTAGCCGCCCGTTTCTGTATCTGTACTTCTGTGTCTGCTTTTACCCTTCTGGAGCATGGCTCTCTGCCTTAGTGTTGTTGGCATTTTCAAATGCGTAATTCTTGAATCCATGAGGAAGATGTACTGGGTCTTGTGGGATGTTTAGCTGTGTCAGTGACCTTTGACAGTTACATGATAGTGCTATTTCTACCAACACACACACACACACACACACACACACACACACACACACACTATTGCTGCTAAAGTGGTATCTGAACACTACAAACATCCTTAAATAACAGATACAGCATGGACCACTTTCTCTGATCGAGGATCCCTGCTGAGGTGTGTGTGTGTGTGTGTGTGTGTGTGTGTGTGTGTGTGTGCCAAGCAGGTATTCCATGTGAATTCCAGAACAATGTCTTGCATTTGGGGGAGCTTCAGTAGCTTAGTGTTTACTCCTGGAGAGGGGTTTTCATCCTCAGGGAATAGTTCAAATCCATGTCTGTGTCCTGGGAGTCATTTATTGAACTCTACTGTATAAAGGAGAACACAGGGTTAAAATTGTTTAAGTGTGGGCTGAGCACGATGGTGGCCTTGGCAGTGAAATGATGTAGCTGGCAGGTGGAATGAAACCAGGTGGCAGGCAGGTAAGTAGGAGACAGCCAGCCCAAGACTCTAGGAGAGCCCTGGTGAAGTCCTTTCATTACCTTCTGAGAAATCCAAGCCATAGACATGACTTGCTGTGTGTCATTAAAAGTGTATAATGGGACCCACGGCCAAGGGCGGGGAGTAAGCTCTCTAGTTTGACAGTCTCTGCCCCACCCTCCAGGGGGATTCTCTTCTCTCTTTGGTAGGTAAAGCAGTATTTCCAATACTCTGACTATTTTGACTACCACAGAAAAGTCTCACTCATGGAAAAAGGAACAGTTTTAGGGCTGTAAGGAATGTATTTATTTCCTCAAAAACAATAAAGAAGCTCTTGTTGGCTTTTGCCATTGACCTTAGGTAAGGATTTGGGGTGCCCACTTGTGGGTCATGTGGTAACTTGCCATAACCTTCTTCCATGGTGGCAGGAGTTTTTCTGGCTCTAAGCTTGGTGCCTTCTGGCCTATGTCTTTCTCCCCTTTCACTCACTGTGCTGTAACTTTTCCTTGGGTAGGCAGAGCAGGTAGGGCCTCACCTAGTGTTGTTTCTGTCCACCTAGGTCAGTGGTTCTCAACCTGTGGGTTCAGATCCCTTTGGGGGTTGAACCACCCTTTCAAAGTGGTCACTGAAGACCATCCTGCAATCAGATATATTTAGATTATGATTCATAACAGTAGCAAAATTATAGTAACAAAAATGATTTTATAGTTGGGGTCACCACAACATGAGGAGCTGTATTAAAGGGTGGAAACATTAAGAAGATTGAGAACCACTGACCTAGGTTGTTCATCCTTTGTTTAGAAGGAGATGGGCACAAGTGTTGTTCTGCCTTTATAATTTCTTAACAATGGGTTTCATAGGTAGAAAGTCAGCTTCCTCCCATTGAAAGGGCAGTGGCTTTCATTTATCTGGTAACCTCATTGCTTCTTGGAATTAATGTATCCAACCATATTGCTAATGGTTAAGGAGACATACTGACTCAGAAAATTCCAAGTAATAAGCAAAGTTGAGGACTAGTGCTAAGAATTGCTTAATGAAAACAAGCATTTCAAAATACAAAGACATCACCCCACCACAACAACATGAGCGATTGCATAATACTTAAGTCGCTAATTATATTGATGTAAATTTATAATTGTTTCTTATTGGCTTATGAGGTTTGGCTTTTGTGTGACTTAGCATGTCTGCATAAAAATAATCAGAAGGCTTCATGAGAAGCTGGTTTTTATATAAAAAAATGCAGTGCTCATTCTCATGTCTTAATGAAAAAAACATCATTTTTTAACTTTGACATCAGATGGATTTCTGAACACTGGAGGCCTTTGTTTTCTAAGGCATGGGAAGTTCCCCAAACTCAAGATTAAGCATTAAGTAATGTTTCAGAAAGTGTTTTCTTTAAAATTGAGGTTAATTTTCTTAATTTTTAATGAAAGACTTTGAACCTTTGACCTCTGAACTTGGATAGTTGAACAATGAAACAGCACAAAAAGTCCTTGTCACTCGTGTAAAATTCTCCAACGTGGCCGATGACGGGAATTCCACAATTGACTTAATTTGCTTCATTGTTGTTTAGGGGAGACAATGACTTTCTAATGCCTTTTGAAATTGAAATATGATGAATGAATTGTGCTTGGCCATGCTAATTCCCATCTCTTTTTTCTGGTTTCAGTGGTAACAACATCTCCTGAGAAGGTAATTCATTCACTGTTTTTAAATATTCTCTTTTGTTGACTTCAAGATGCTTTTTAAGGATATGCACAGGATTTTTTAGCATTAGGATTTTCATATTATAGATCATTTACTGTAAGGAAACATAATTCATTAATGCAAGAAATTCTGTGACAGGATTTTCTAAATGGGTGTTGCATTCTCAGTGCTCAGAAAGTGATGGCTAATCTATTGCTGGGATTGGGTGGGGAACATCGTCTCCTGCCACAGAAGCTAAATTCTAGAGAGGGTAAAATGATGAGCAGAGTTCATAGGGTCAGCTAGTTGCCTGGACAAACTGCAAAGGAAGACTCTTTTGTGTTTCTCCTATTATGTATTCTCAGTGTGCATATAAAATTGAGACTCTAATTAGTCCAACTAAAATTTAATACAAGCATTTGGATCAAATTAGATTAAAGACAACACTAGCCTTGAAAGCCACAGCAAAATACTTAGCTATTGTTTCTTAGACGTTCTAGAGAAAATTTGATCAGTTTTGGGTTTAGGAGCATGAAGTGGGAGTAGGAATAGTGAGACTCAATAACAGGACTTGATGTCCTCTTTATGTAATATTGCATCTTCTCTGCCCCTTCTCCTGCCTTGAATCTTTATTTGATAATATGGAAATTATGTGATTATTAAATGTTTTTCATTTATTATCATTCGTCCAGTTGCCAGGAATATATTTATTAGGCATTAAAACCCATGTGGGGGGATGTGGAAATAAACTATTTCAAATGGTGTTTCATTTGTTATGTATAGTTTATGTTATCATGTGGGAGTGTTAAAAGAATCGGGGAGTGAAGACTGTGGGATGAGAACTCTCATATTGGTATGAGGGTATATTGAGCCTGAAGGAACCACAACACATCTTCATACTTGACTTGCACAGCTGTGGCTCAGCACACTGAATGATGGGTGAGGCACGGTAGCTTGCAATTTTGTTGATTTTGAGTTTAGCTCTGAATGATCCAAGATGGGATAAAATCACTGAGCTTGTAAGTATGCCAGTCAGCTGCCTAAACAAACCCATCATAACTCGGCTTTGGTCTTCTCTTTTTGTGCTGTAGTTTATTGCAACTGTAATCGAGACTAGGAAAGAATAGATACTGTCTCCAAAGATAAGTCAGAGGGTGGGCAAGGAAGAGACCCGATGTCAACCTCTGGCCCCTCCATGTGCACACAAATAGATGAAGACACATTGCAGGCACCCCCCCCCACACTCACACATACACACACTCACACATACACACACACACACACACAGCTCTAATCAGAAAATCATGAACATTTTTCTTATATAGTCTTAACTTCATTTGTCCGATTTCCTTGTACAGTTAAGACTGTGCATTTTCATTTAAAATGGGGTATTGGGAAGGGAATGAAATCAGGATCTGTTTAGGATTGACACCATGGTCTCGTGATCTTAAAGACTGATGTGGGGAAAGAAGGTCAGCCCAAGCGTGAGACATTTACATGTGAAAGTTTAATTGACAGCAGCAAAAATTAGATCCGAACGTGGTCCTGCTATGATGGGTCAGAAATACTGACTACACTTGTAGTCAATGGGGAAATAGCTGCTGAACTGGGCCCCTGCCTATTAAGTGGAGAAGTGGTATTGATTGGGAAGGGTATGCCTAAGGTTCATGGGAAATTCTGCCTCTAAACCACAGGAGTGAGTTAATGCTCAATTGTGGACTGCTCTCTGTTGCTATATGCCATGGGCTATGGGGAGAAGATACAGAGACTGAGGGAGGCCATCTCTCACAAGTTACAAAAAGTCCATCATACAAAGAGGAGGGCACGAGGAGAAATGTAACAAGCGGTCAGGGTTTCCTAGATCGATGTGTTGAAGGATTGACTGAGGTAGAGGGACTGGTGGCTTGAGAGGCCAATTAGATGATACAGTAAGCGGAGCCTGAGGAACAAATCCACTGAGGACTATGGATTAGAAAAGGGTGGGTCACCAAGCGAATGTTCCACGTGGGCAGGTTTGGGAGTGTGGAAGGAAAGAGGAAGCCCTAAAATGTGATTCCGTCTGGCTGGGATGGGTTGACAATGGGCACTGACAGAAAGACGAAGTTGGTAGCAGAGGCTGGTCAATTTTTGTCGAGGAAGGGTCGGGAATGGAAGTGTAAGGAACTTACATGTGCAAAGTTACTCTGTAGGAATCCCTACTTACAACACTGGAGTTTGATGAAATGGTCTGTGAGGGTTTCTACTGTAGCAGCATAAAAATGTAGCAACTAAAGCCAGGAGATAGGTCAAGAGTGAAACCAAGGCCGGAAGCTGGCTTCCAGTAAATTAAGCCAGAGAGGAAAGATGTTGGGTAACGGTGAGGAAATAACTTGATGAATGCGTTTAATGAGGTGTTGTGAGCGCTCTGGACCCACGCTGGTAAAAGAAAAAGTACGAAAACCTTTCTTAACTGGACTAACTGTCCCATTGACATGAGCTCCTACAGAGCTATAGCTGAAGGCTAAGCCATGATGATGGTTGGATTGTTTTCTTTCTTTTTTTTCTATTTTGCTTGAGTAAGAAGCCTCAAGTCCTCTGAGACTTCAGCTGATATTGCTGTGACAGCCTACCACTGCTGAGGAGAGTCAGGGCATGTTACCTTATTAGGTTTGGGGCTAAAGAAGACCACAATGACTGCCTGGCTTAAAGTACTTAAAGTTAGTGGATGTTCTTTCTGGCTCAGTTGCTAATCCATTATTCCTTTAATCTACAAAATGTGGCAGTGGGGCAGAGCCACCTGCGAATTCATGGATGGTAAGTCCCAATTAGGGTTAGGGTTGTCCAGTTGGAGGTCAAATGTGGAACTCTGGACCAAGGTCATTGCTTTCAAGGCTTGACTTTGAAGTCCAAGGAAGTGAATGGAGCATGTGCATAGATAGCGAGCACAGCTGCTAAAATAAGAATTTGACATTGTAACCACACGTTTTAAAGTCACATACTTAGGTGTGTATCTGATCCTATGATATTTTTTGCCTTTCTGAGAATATAATTAAATAAAAATAACACTGCATGAGAAAATAAAAGTAATTCCCACATTATCTCTCTCTCTGTCTCTCTCTGTCTCTCTGTCTCTCTGTCTCTCTGTCTCTGTCTCTGTCTCTGTCTCTGTCTCTCTCTCTCTGTCTCTCTCTCTGAAAAACAACCACCAAGGAAATACCTTCACTGGATCAAGAGAAAACCAGACTTGAGCCTGGGCAACCCCAGCTCTCTCCAGGCATTTCAACTATCCATCTGCACCCTCAGTTTCCAGGTAACCTGTGCTGATATGTGCCATTCATAAGGGTATTCTTGTGTGTGTCTCTTTGGTGAGTCAGTGGACCGTATCACTGCATTTCATTGCGAAATGAGCAATATAGTAGGTTCCTACACTGGAACAATGTAGGTGTAAGAAGAATAGTATATGTAGTGTAATAAGAAATGTCAGCCTCTCACTATTTTCAGTGGTCAAGACTAGTATACGTTGTCCAAATGTTGGAACCTTTCATCAAATGGTCATATTTTTTTGAATTCTGGATTTTCTTAGTTTTTTTTAACTAAATAGTCAAGGCAGAACTGTGACTTAATATCATGAGCTTTCAGGACTGTTATTAGTTCTTGAACAGAGCTACTGTTTTACTTAGAGTAAGTTATACTTCCATTTTGCCCACGGATGTCAGTGAACATAACAAGGTTTCATTTTCTTATCTCCCTCTCTTCATGCAGTAGTGATTGAAAAGACATCACCCCCTGTGCCTGTAGAAGTGGCTCCTGAAGCTTCCACATCTAGTGCCAGCCAAGTGATTGCTCCTACACAAGTAACAGGTCAGTGGAGTATTTGCTATATTCTGCATCCTGTGAAAATACATGAATGGAATGCACGTCAAATGTAATATCAAGTGCGTGAGATTGATATTTATAACAGCAAATGCATTGGGAATGACTGTGCATAAATAAATCAGGGTACCTATACAATGGCATATTATAGAGCTATTAGCATTTCAAAGGCATTTAATGTTTTAAAACAATATTCCTGTAATAATACTTATTAAGAAATGTATGACACAATGTCATGATGCAATTTTACTTTTAAAAGTCTACAAATATGGAAAAGGAGACCTAAAGAAATGCATTTGTGTTTACCAATGATGAAAAGCAGGGTTATGGGTGATCTTTTTGTTCTTAGATATACTTTTGTATATTTTTAAAATTCTTATAACAAACATATTTCAATCCTTATTATAAAAAACTCCGGCAATGTATTACTTTTAAACAAATGAGAAAAACAAAAGGTTAATGTTGTTAGTAATAGGATAGTAATAAAATGTAGTAAGATCCCCATAGGAAAAATGACACTGAGGAGCACAAATAGGGAATTTCAACATAGTCTATAGTAGAGAAAAGAGAAGACAACCCAAAGATCCAGTTGTAGGGAGTAAAATGCTAAGTGACAAAGAAGAAAGTGGCAGGCCATGGGTTCAACCATAAATTTTCAACTAGTCAGTGACAGAATCAAGACATGCTTGTACCCACAGTTTTCAGCCTCCCTGAGGTATCTGGCATCTCCTTGTGTGTTTGTTGTTACTACTGAGTGAAGTGCTATAGAAATGCGAGCAATTCTAAAGATTTTCAGAGCCCTATAGTGAAGTCATTATAACTTACGTAGAAGAGGTTTGTAGGAAGGTGGACTAATACGAAATTGCCCCTCAAAGAGGTACATGCTCGTAGACAGGCAGCCACGATGAGACCAAAATGGAGACCATTAGGAGGAGATCACACCATAACATCATGATGGGGTCCAGAATGGAGAGAGGGCCTTCAATACCAAAGGAAAAACGCTTAAGGGTTTTCATGGATGGTGGACAAGTTTCAAGCCACATGCCACAGCCTCACCTCACCTTCATGCCAAGAAACACAGAGGCAGGCACTGTGTGGGACAGGGCTATAAATGGGGAGGGAGAGAAAGTGAGAATGGCAAGCTCACAGTGTTCTTGTAATCTCTGTCCACTGAGAGAGACTGCAGGGTGGGGAAGAGATGGGCTCCAGTGTGTGTGTGTGTGCGTGTGTGTGTGTATGCACGCGCAAGAGAGAGAGAAGAATTGATACAGATAATAGATAACAAGATGTTAGATAGAGATATAGATAGATAGGTAGATAGATAGATAGATATAGTAGTAGAAATATGGGCTTTGTGATCTAACAAAAATGACAATGCTTTTTCAATGGGCGTGATTGAAATTATTATTCCATATTCTGAGCCCTTATGTGTACATCTGCCCTGCTCATTTTAAGATATATAAGCATGTAATGTACTGTTTGGGGGAACAAAAACCTTCTAATTGTTTACCTCTGTGTTATAAAATATACTGTGGCAATGTAATCCACAGGTTTCTCTAAGTATCGCATTGCCATTTCCCAGTGTGAAGGTAAATTTAGTTCTGAATTGGCATCTCTGGCATCAGTGAGCAAACCTCTTCACATATTAGTTTCACAAAAGTCAATTACATTTCAATTAGGTAAGTGCAGTTTCATCGTTAAGCAAAACTATAGAAGTTACCCTGAATGTCTTTTTTTTCAAATAAAGATTTATTTTATTTTCAGATTGTATATATGAGCATGTGTGTATGTATGTATGTATGTATATGTACATGTATATAGGTGGGGGCAGGGCCTATGCATGTGAGTGCCGTGTCTTCAGAGTCCAAAAGCAGTCCTGGAGCAGGTGATTGTCAGTCACCCGGCATGGGTGGTTCTGAAAGAGCCATATGTGCAGTTAGCCGCTGAGACATCTCTCTGGCCTTAATGGTCTTGGTTTCATCACTTAAATGCAAACATGTAAGGCATGACAAGTGGGAGTTTCTGGGCCTCGGCTTGAACTGTGGAGCTGATTGTAGCCCTGCTATACAAAGTTGTCAGGAGACAGCTCAATTTAGCCTGGCAGATACTCAGGGTTAACATCTGCTATCACATATTGGATGCTCCAATATTTCCTTCCAGGAAACAAGTGACCCTGAATTTTTTTCCCTTTTTTGCATAACAGCTGTAAAGTGCTTCCACTTCCTCTAGTAAAATAACTTTTTGGAAGGAATCCATCCTTAGGGAAAAGATTATAAATAGAGAGGCTTCTAATTGATGTATTTGCAGCTTCAGAGCTGTTATGGAACACGAGTTCCACTAGAATGAGAATAACTGCTTCATGTCAAATTTCATTTTCAATCAAAATGTAAACATTCCTGCTAGTTAATGTGATGAGCAAAGACATAGAATTAAGGAACCCTCACATCATTTATCACAGGAACGTTGTATAATTTTTCTCCTTTAACATCTAGGCACAATCAATGTCATGTCTTACTGCTATTCTCTCCCATAGTTAAAGGAAGGGATGGACTAATCTACGATTCTAAAATAAACACAATCAGTTCCACGTTGCTCAGTGATGATATCTCTGTGATTGCAAGACTGGGAAGGAGCCTTTTTGGATCTAGCCACACACCCTTGAACTAGGAATAGTATACAAGGAGCAGAGTATTTGGTGGCTTGCAATGTTATTGGCCTACCATTTCCAAATCAATCATTTCAGCATATACATGCTCGATTTCGCAGTGTCATAATAGCTGAAGGATAGGTTGGAAAAATCAAACCTTTATTTCTCAAGCAAATATTTACAAAGTGGAAACATCTGTTTCAATTGTTGTGGGACAATGTCTGCTCCTCCTGGGGTAGTTGGGAAGCCAGGGCATTTTAATAAACCTTTCCATGAGTTAATACTCGATGTCTTGCTCCGGCTCTTCCTGTACTGTCTCCGTTGCTCTTGCAGCCCAGCTAGGAATTGCTCTTCCTCCCCCATAACTGCCTTATGGAAACAGCCATAGTGACCATGGCCAGAATGTTTTAAAACTATTTGCTAGTCTGATTTTTTCCAGAACTCAGAGTTGACCCCTTTGAAAATGTTTGTCCCCGAAGCATATTCCTGCTGTTATTACAGTCTCAAAGAACTATGCCGATGAGAAATGAATGAACTGGTTGCTTAAGTGTGAAGTCATCGCCTTTTGCTGTCCCAGCTCCATTGACTGCATTGATCCCTTTGCTCCTCGTCCCTTTGAATAATCACACGGTGAAGAAATGACCTCAGGGTCAGCCCACTGGTTTTCACAACTGGCCCAAAGTTTCTCTTTTCACTGAGTTTTTGAAAATAAACACACTGAGCTGTTAAAGCTAACCTACACCTTATTTGTGAGAGACACAGAGTGTTTGGTTTTTCACTGGCTTTTGCTTATGGTTCCTTTTTTGCCCAAGTCCTCAGTGGATTTTAGTAAAAGGAATGGAATAAGATTCTCGAGCTGGCCAGGGTGAAGTTGTATCAGGGGCAGAACTGTCTTGTGACCCAAGTGGCACAGAAGTAAGTATTTTAAGGGCACAGGGATGAGTCCAGCAGGACACTCACTTGACCATCTCTCTGGGGCACCAAACAGTTTCTGGGACAAATGATGTTCATTTTCACTAGGGAGCCCCTGAGGGCAGGAATGAGCTCTGTCTGAGTGGCCTGGCCTCAGTGGTATGTCATAGCTGTGTTTCTAGAGCTTCTGCAGACAGTTTCTAAAAGAAATGTGTGTCTCTTCATAAACTAGCCAATTCTGTAGAAATGAGGTCACTTGCCTGCAGCTGAGAGCCACTTAGAAAAAATGTAAAGCATCTTGTCTTTGCCTTTAAGCCCAGAAAAATCAGAATTTTTTTCCTATGAAGACAGAATCCTCAGAACTCACCTTTCTGTGTGCTGTATTTTTAAGTATGAAAAACCTGATACTCTAAAATGTTAAAAACATACATACATTTGCATGCATGCCCACGCGCACACACACATACACACACACACACACACAAACACGCTGATGTGTACACTCATGTGTACATATCAAACCCAAACCCAGGGCCTTGCTCATACTAGGCAAGTATGAGCTAAAATCCCCAGTGCTCAGCTTTTGGAGGTGGGGTCTCAGCATGTAGCTCAAACTGACTTTGACCCTTCAGTTCTCCCGTTAGCATCTCCCAAGTGCTAAAATCTAGAAACGTAATGCCAATCCTAGCCAATTTATACTAACTTTCAGAAAAACACTGATTCTGACTAACTTCTTGGGGGTTCCTTAGTAGAAAGCAGATAAGCTATCTTGAAAGTGATTGATGCTCTTTCTGTCCAGTAAGTGAATGGAAGCAACTTTGAGGACAAAACATTGGAAGTTAAAAAAACTAATCACTGTCAAAATGGGATAACCAATGAAGAAATTAAATGTGTTGTAAGAATGACCCTCCCTCCCCCTCTCTTCCTCCCTCCCTCCCCCCTCCCTCCCTCCTTCTCACCTTCCCTACCTCCCTCCCCTCTTCCTCCTCCCTCCCCTCCCTCCTTTCTTGATGCATCTCCTGGTACCCTCTAGTGGTGTCAACATGGCAGCTCCATACATGTTTAGTGCCTCACCAGCCAGGACTAATGATTTTGGGCTGTGTCTCTGAATGCTTAATCCAGAAGACAGTCAACTCAAAGTTCCCAAGTGTTCTCAACCTCAGCTCTAATTTAATGTGCTGGATTGAAAGGAAAAGCCACTGTTACTCATTTCATTTCCCACAACCAAAGAGTTAACATTGTTAATCATGTTTAATGTAGATGGTTAACAGGACACAACTGAACAAGCATAAGAGAAATAATTGGAATACATTTATGAACTGTGGTGTGGGAATGTATTGAGTCCTGTCCCAGCATCCTGTGTTTTTGGAGACTTTTATTCATGTGTGTAAAAATTCCAACCTATAGTTATGCCCAAAAAATAACAAATAAATATTTGCTAATCAAGAAATTGAGATGCATGAGGGGGACTGCAGTGATCAAACCTTTTGTGCAAACCCTGGTTTTATGGCCCCTTTAGTTTGCTCTGAATCATAGCCTTAGGATGTTCATGATGATGAATTCATTTTACTATTGCAAATGTAGACTTTCCTGTTTTAAGAAAATAGCCAGAAAAATAATTAGCAAACCCAGAGCTTGAAATTCCAGTCATTTCCAAAGGAGGCATCTACCTATAAATGGGTCAACAATAGCTAGAGCTCTATTTCTTCTGTTTGTTTCTACTCTGAAATCTGCACAAGAGAATTTACCTAAGACTCTGTGAGCAGAAGATAGTGAAAATGTCTTCACCTTTTACCTTCAGAGCTTTGTAGCACATGGAAATGATACAGTATTTATTTTATCTTATATGTATGGATGTCTGTAGCAAGTCTTTCTCTGTCCTGCCAGTCAGCTCCCAAGTCATGACACACAGACTTCTTATTAATTATGAAAGCTTGACCTAGAGCTAAGGCTTGTTCCAACTTAACCCATTCATGTTAATCTACAGTCTACCACATGGCATCACCTCTCTTCCATCTTGCAGTCCTGTTTCCTCTCCGTGTCTCCTGGCGTCTCCTGTGCACCTGGATTCCTCTCCATCTTCCTTCTCTCCCTGGAAATCCTGTCTATGCCTCCTGCCTCGCTATTGGTCATTCAGCTTTCTGTTACACCAATCACAGCAATGTATCTTCACACAGTGTACAGATATCCCACCACACGTGTTTTTCCTGCATGCATATCTGTGTACCATTTGAGTGCCTGGTGCCTGTGGAGGCCAGAAGAGGGTGTTAGATCTCTTAGGACTGGATGTTGCAGGCTGTGCCGATGATGAGAACTGAATCTAGTTTCCCTGGAAGAGCAATCAGTGTTCTTATCTGCAGAGCCACCTCTCCAGTCCCATCCTGCTTAGGATCGTATATAACTTCATCTTGAGCAATGGTAGCATAACGATGGCTCACTTCTTTGAGCTGCACTTCAAGTCATACATGGTATTTAGCTCTTCTCTTTTCAGGATCACTCTGAAGTTGGGACGCTGATCATTTCCATTTTGCACTTGTAAAAAAGTGTGGTCTGGAAATGACTAACTTGTCCCATGTTGCAGGACAATAAATGACAGCAAAATTTGTATCTTTTCTGACTGCAATGGTTTTGCCCCATAAAAACCATTGACTATACTTACCACTCTCTGCCATTATGTCTTCCAGCAAGGCTCATTGGAGACAGAGTATCTTAGGTAGGGCATTCACCCCAGAAAGGTGTTTTTGTATACTGTAGTAATTAATCTCATTTTATGCATTCCCAGAAATGTCCACCACCATGGTGTGATGGTGTGGTGTGTGTGTGTGTGTGTGTGTGTGTGAGAGAGAGAGAGAGAGAGAGAGAGAGAGAGAGAGAGACAGAGACAGACAGAGACAGACAGAGACAGAGAGAGTGAGTGTGTTGTGGACATTTAGCAGTGTTAATTGTATAGGTTTACTAGAAGCGGAAAGTGTCACACCAGCCTCACTAGGAAAGCAGAGGATGTATGGAGCGGATTTGGTGGATGATTCTACTCTGCTAATGCAGAGTGCAATCACCTTAAACTGTAAGGTGCATGTGGGAGTTTTAGGAATCTACCTGGAGAGTAGAGGTGAAATTTTGCCCCAGCTTGATCATTCCTGAGGAACTCACATTTAGGCTGCTAATGAATAGAAAGTTCTCATACCTTTCTCATTAGGAGAGATCATATGAGGTTTCAAATTCCCTCACATAAGAAGAAACAGAATCGAGGGGAACTCTTTGATAGGCCATGCAGGAAGCTGCTTTGTGAAGGAGTGATTTTCTTACAACCTTCTGCACTCCTGCTCGGGGTCATCTTTGAACTTGATTCACTAGGAACGAGCGAGCAAGGTGGAAGTAGCCGATCAGTCACAGAGTGGCTGCATGAATTTGCAGTTAGCCCACCGTGTTCCTCTGGATACGTGCCTGCAATGATTCACTCAGCTGCTTGTGAAACACAAAGCCTTGCTGAATGGCTACAATGAAATGCTAATGCTGTGGTGGTTTTCACATGGTTTTCTTCTTTTAAAGAGATCAACGAGTGTACTGTGAACCCAGACATCTGTGGGGCGGGACACTGCATCAACCTGCCGGTGAGGTACACCTGCATATGCTACGATGGTTACAGGTTCAGTGAGCAGCAGAGGAAGTGCGTTGGTAAGAGACGCGTGTGGTAAACAGACTGTTGGCTGGGAAAAATAAATAGAATGTTCCCTACGTTTAATCATCTTGGGGAAAACAGAACTAAGGCGTGGGTTCCCCAAACGGCAGGATTCCCTTTCTTCTGTGCCATTTCCCTTGCTACAGGCAGGACATTTGCATAAAGGTGGGCTGACATACAAAAGTAAATAAAATATGAATTCCAGCAGTAGCTACCAGCAATCTTGCATTTAGCCCAAATAAATCCACACTGATGCATGCTGCAGTAATGAACCCACGTATACATGCAAAAGCTGAAAGGGATTTCTAAATTAAAAAATCTCTACATGCTAGCATGAAGAATGACTTTCTAAGTAAGGGAACTTCATGTTTCAAGGAGTAGGGGAGCTATTCCAGAGGTGACACAGAATTTAGTAAATGTTTATAATATGTCAGCCCTAAATGTAATTCTTTTTAAAAGAAAATGCACTATGTTTTAAGACACAGGCAAAATAACTAAAACAACAAGAACATACAGCCAGCATTTCTTCTCTGTGTGCTTTTCGTGTGGTTGCTAAAAGAGGCCTCGCAGCTGTTTGCTGTCCCAGGCATATGTCATGTGAAGTCCCCCCTCAGAACATCAGACACTGAGTAGGGAAGGTAACAGAGATGATGATGACCCAGCGCCCCCTGAGCGCATTGCATGTGGGATTGTCCCTGACTGTCTTGATGACGGTCAATTCCAGTGCTTGGGGGGACCCTGCTTGCTAGAATAGCCTCTGTTGAGCTGGAAACTATATTTTTTGAAATGCTAGTGTTATGTTTTGTGGCTTCTTTATTGTTTTAAGTTTTTTTTTGTTTTTTTGTTTTTTGTTTTTTTGTTTTTGTTTTTTGTTTTTTTTTTTTTTGGTTTTTACGAGACAGGGTTTCTCTGTATTGTTTCAGAGGCTATCGGTCCAGCCCGGCCTCGAACTCACAGAGATCCACCTGCCTCTGCCTCCCGAGTGCAAAGACGTGCGCCACCTCCGCCTGGCTGTTTTAAGTTTTGAAATGTGCATATTCCCTGTTAACACTCCTTTGTGTATTTGGGCAGAGAGGTCATTTAGTGTTGGTATTTGGTGTTGTACAGAACAGGGAAAACAGTCTACTACACAGCTACACAGCCCCAATCTTTCCCTTTGTGTTCTTGTTGACAGACATTGACGAATGTGCTCAGGTCCAGCACCTCTGCTCCCAGGGTCGCTGTGAGAACACGGAGGGAAGTTTCCTGTGTATTTGCCCAGCAGGGTTTATGGCCAGTGAGGAGGGTACCAACTGCATAGGTAATGATGGGTGTTCTTCCTGATGCTGAATCTGGGGGGATTGGGCCAGTTCAGGGCTTCTACAAATGACCCAACATCCTTTTATTAAATAAACATCTGCTATGGTGTAGCAGTCTCCTCGGAACTGGGAGACAACCCTTTGAAAAGAAGCGTATCAAAGGTGTGCCGTGAAAAGAGCTTATCTTGGGGGCTGTCTACCGCCACCATGCAAACCAAAGCAGTGTGACTTGAGCGCGTGCTGAATACGTCAAAGAGACGATGGCACAGACCAGACATTTCCTTCTCATATTTAAGTAAACCTAGGAGAGGTGGGACGTGGTACCTTTGCCCAGCTGGTATAGCCACTTTGGGAATCAGTGTGGAGATTTCTCAAAAAATCAAAGCAAAAACAAACCTAAACAACAACAACAGCAACAAAATAACCCCTACAAACAGAAGACCATATGATCCAGCTCTAACATTCCTTGACATATACCCTGAAGACTCTGTATCCTGTACAGGTATACATACACGTATAGCTATTACTGTGCTGTTTACAGTATCCAGGAAATAGAACCAGCCTAGATATCTACCAATAGATGAATGGTTAGTGAAAATGTGATATATATGTATATCACATATATGTGTGTGTCATATACATATGTGTATATGACATGTATGTGTGGAAGGGTTTTTTCAGCTCTAAGTAAAAAATGAAATTGCTAAATTTTTTAGGAAAATATTAAGTGTGTTAATCTTGACTAAACACTGCTTGTTCCCATTATACACAACTCCTAGCTTTGTATGTATGTGTGTTTATATGGAATGAACATGGCTGGAAGCCAGGGAACCAGAAAGGAACACATGAGAAAGGGGAAACAGAGGCTTAAAAAGAAGGGTGTGGGGGAATAGAAAATGTGTGACATCAAGGCCAAAAGGGGGACATTGGGAGAGGAAGGATATAGGTCACGGAAGCAGAGGAATATAGGGGCAGGGGGAGCAGGTTGGAGTTGGGGGAGAAGTAAAAAACAAAGACTAAGACTGTTTGTAAAGGCCCTAAAAGAAATCTATTATGTTGTGTGTTAATTATAAAGAAAAAAAACATAAGTAAAAATAGCCCTGGGCGATATTTCGTGTCTCACACAGATGTGGATGAATGTCTGAGGCCTGACGTGTGTAGGGAGGGTCGCTGCATCAACACTGCCGGGGCCTTCCGGTGTGAATATTGTGACAGTGGCTACCGGATGACCAGGCAGGGACACTGCGAGGGTGAGTGTACTCACGAGGCTGGGAGAGCTGTGTGTCACAGGGCTGCGAGATGCGGCCTGGGTCCAGATCCAGGGCTCGTAGGCAGCCGCCGTGGTTCCTGCTGTCCTCCTCAGCTCTGTCGTGAATCCCAGGCCCCTTCCCTCTGCTCGATGCCTCCCTCCCTGCTCAAGGCCTCTGTCTGACTTCCGTGGCTCTGTCTGCCTTATTTTCTGTCTTGATGTTCTCATTATTTTTCATGCTGGTATCTGTCTTTCCTGGTGTTTGGAGTTGTGAGCGCGGTTAATTGCTGATTATTTGGAACGAGGCCAGACTTAATTACATTGTCTGGCTGCTCACTCTTCTGTAAATACGGTGCAGGTGCAACCTGTGTTTATTTTCCTTTTTCGCCCTTCCCATCTTGTTGCATTCCTTTGTCTTAACTGTCTTCTTTTACATGATGTATTCTGGAACTTTCTCGCAGACCGTTTGAAGCACTGTCTGACCAGTTTGTAGTCCGAGTCTGACAGCACAAGATAACATTTCCTCATTACATTTACGGAGATCGTGCTCATTAGCGAAATGATCTGGAAAGCGTGTACAGCATGGTCAGAATTACATCCCAATTGATATTTCTGTTGATACAGATATTCACCTTACGCTAGATCTTTCTGTAGCTTCCATAGTAATCTTTTTTTGGTGATTATTTTCCCCAGAGAAATAGAGTACCTTCAGCTGCAATTTGGCATGGGCCCACAAGAACGAACATAGTCCCTGACCTGCCGCTTGAAGGATTTAGACTTAGATGTGGTGCTGGGTCCTGGCAATCCCTGTCTGGTTTTCCATTCAGCTGCCTGAAGCTCTGTATCTTGTCTGCTGTGGGCATGCTTCTGGAGCTAGTGAGTTTTCTCTCAGCTGTCCCTTGGCGTCTGCGTGTTGGTTCCCTTCACACTCAGATGACTTAGGCCTGGAATGAGAGCTAATTAGCCATTTCTTGGCAGCCCATACCTGCCTGTCCTGTTGGCCTCTTGCCTCGGCCCCTCGGGTTCTAATTCTAGAGACAAGTGGGAGGGAGTGTCGTATGTTACTGGATGTCTGATCAGTTTGGATCAGAGCAGAGCCATGAACCTTCCCATCGATGGCCTGGTGCCATTGGACAAGCACCAGAGTGACCCCATTGTCCTCTTGTGGGGAATCCTCCCTCTGCAGTGGAGAGTGAGAGAATAGAAAAGTGTGGACCGCGGTCAGCTGACAACTATCAGTCGTCATAACCATCTGCTCTAAACCCTAGTTCGTTGCCTGTAAAAGGAGAGCCACGAAATCAATTGGTAGGGTCTCTGTGGACATGAATGTGTGTGACTGTGGCCTGTGTGACACCTGTCCTCTTCTACTTTTCAGATTTAAGTTTCTTTAAACCATGTTCCATGACTCTTTGTTCTTGCCTAAGTCTCCTCAATGCCTCCATAGTTATTGGCCCCAGCACAAATAGTGCTAAAAATTGGAATGAATTTATTTGACAAATAGTCATACACAAAGAAATCAAACACTAAACCTAATTACATTCTGTATGCAGCTCCAAAGTAGAGAGAGGATATTTAAATAATGACAGAAAGGAATAGTCAAGAAAATTTAGAATACTGTGATTTATAGCCAATAGAATATTCAGTAATAATTTATGGGAATTATTTAACTCTTGTTAATATGCCACCAGGGTTCCCTGGGTGTGTGCATCTTTCTATGTCCTCAAAAATGCTTGAAAGGAAAAAGAGGCCAAATGATGTGACTGTTTTCTAATTCTGTGGTGGACCAGAACCAAAGGTCCCCAGGCCTCTGGCTCCCTGAAGCCTCTCTCAGATGTCACGGAGTGAGCTGCTTTCAAACAGAGCTGTGTCTCCAAGGAGCCTGTTGTAATTTCCAGACATTATCTCATTTGCCCTCACTTTGTCACACTGCAGTGTCACAAGGCGGGTGGCCCCAGGAGGTGCCGCAGCAGATACACAGGTACTGCCTTCAGCTGCTCAACCCAGAGCCAGCTGTTTGCTGGGCCGGTCGAATGCCAGTCTCCGAGTTGGCCATTGCATTTCCATTGTAAAAAGAAAAAGATTTACATCCTGCGGAGAATTTGATGTTGGAAAATAAAACTGGCAAACATAATTTTGTAGAAGTCCCAGAACATTGGACCAAAGGGGGAAAAAAGAAGAGAGAGAGAGAGAGAGAGAGAGAGAGAGAGAGAGAGAGAGAGAGAAACACTGTATGTCTTGTTTATTAGCAAGAGTGAGACTTTTTCACTGATAGAAAAAAGTTACAGCAATGACCAGGCGCTCCCATTATCTTGAACTATCTCCACTTTGAGCATCTTTACACAAAAGCATCTCTCACAAAGTGATTTTAAAGGCATCTAAAAGGAAGACACCGTGGTTATTTAATTAGTGAGCCAATTCTGTTTATGTTTACTTTCATGTTTTGGCTTGCGTCCTGAAAGTGTGTTTAAATAGGTATGTTTTGAGGTCCTCTGTCCTGTACACTTTGTATTTGGAAACCTAGACATGATTTGTATGTCTCTAAATACAAAATCCCCCTCCAGGAAAATGGGCTTCTGCTACATGGAGATGGTGGCCCCAGACTGGAACCCCCCTTCCCTGCTTTTAGTATCCTGAAAAGAAGACACCATGCTTAGGACTAACAGGATGGCTAAGTGGGTAAAGGTGTTTTTTGCCAGGTATGGCAACCTGAGTTCAGTCCCCAGGACCCACAAGGTGGAAGGAGAGAACCAGCTCCCACAAGTCCTCTCACCTCCACATGTGTGCTGTGGTGCTCGCATGCATACACACACACACGCACATGCATGGTGCACACACACACACACGCACACACCCCAAACACGCACGCATGCACACACAAGTGCACACACTGACAAAGTCCCAACCGTATCTAAAGTGCTTTCTCACTTGAAAAGAATTGTGATTAATAACATCCCTTAGCGGTGGATAGTAAAAGTGGCATCTTTAGTGGAGGTTATTTATAGATGGTCATATAACCCTTCCTGGAACATTTTCCAAGTATCTGATGAGTTCATTCTCCCCTAATTTCCTTTCTGCCTCTAAGGAATTCATATCATATGAAAGATTTTAAATGACTGGAGCCTACAATGTCCTCTGGTCTATAAAAGCAGTGTGAAGGTTTACCTAGAGATTCCATATCTACGGAGAACGAACTCCTCAACCAACTGGATATGAGACTTCTTCACACTCATACTCATTTCTCATTTCTTTCTGGAAAGCAGTGCTATCGCTGGAAAGATTTGGTCCACAGTGTGGCCTTAGAGGACCCACTACCTCCTAGAGTAGAAAAGACCACCCTTCCAACATATGTAAATATAACCCTGCTGCATCTGTGTGTTCCTGTTGGATATTTGCTGTTTGGCCCCGTGACTCCCCTGGTTATCGTCTTCCTTGAAATATAAGATTACTTTTCCTCACTCCTATGATGAAACTCAGAGTGTGCTTCTGATAAAATGTTCACCACCTCACTTCCCAATTTTTCAGATATCGATGAGTGTCTGACACCCAGCACTTGTCCTGAAGAACAGTGTGTGAACGCCCCAGGCTCTTACCAGTGCGTCCCATGCACGGAAGGCTTCCGAGGCTGGAATGGACAATGCCTTGGTAGGTACTACCCCCTCACAGAGGCTTTTGTTTCTTTGAAAATAAAGATGAAATATAAGAAATTTGCATGTTCCTCAGAGAAGTTCTGAGTAATTTTTAATTGTGGAGAATGTAAGGAAATGAGTCGGCACAGGGGACACAGAGTTCTAAAGGGGACTAATAATTCTGATCGACCCAAGCTACCCCTTGTAAGATTTTAAATAAAATCAAACAAAATGATAAACATTGCAGGGAAGAAAGACAGAGAGCAGAAGGCTTTTAAAAAACAAGAGAAGTATATGTTCATAATCCCACCTACTTGGGTAGCTGAAGCAGAGGAATTGCAGGTTACAGACCAGCCTGGGGTGCATAGCAAAATCCCCCTCTCAAAATGAAAATGACTGGAGCTATAGCTCAGTGGTAAAGCTCTTGCCTAGCTTGTTTAAGTTCCCATGTTCAATCCCCAGTACTGGACTAGAAGAAAGAAAATATAGTGAGAAGGAGTGGAGGGGGCATGGTAGAAGCTGGCCTGCACACACAGAGATGAGACAAAGGTAGGACTTGCGGCGCTGAGGAAGAGAAAGTGTTCTGCTTGCTGGCCTCCCACTTTGGGCATCCGTCTGCCTGTGGCTGTTTCATTTCCCACTGAGTTCTTGGTTCTTCCAATGGATGCAAATATAACCCTCCTATGTCTAACTGTATAGCAGGGAAGATTGTTCGAGTTGTTAAAAGCACAGGTTGCTCTTGCAGATGACATTGGTTCAGTGCCCAGAACACACTGGGTGTCCCACAACTCCCCATGACTCCATTCGACTCTAGTTCCGGGGTCTCTGTTACCATCTTTAGGGGCGCTCCATACGTCTGGTGTACATGCGAGCATGCAAGAAAAAACCACACATAGAGGGCAAATGACTTATTTTAAAAGGTTGATGTCTTTTCACTTCATGTCAGAACTCTGGATATGTTAAGTTCAGTGTTTCATGCATTCCTACTTTCATTTCTCTCCAGTCATGTAACTTCATACACACACACACACACAGAGAGAGAGAGAGAGAGAGAGAGAGAGAGACAGAGAGACAGAGAGAGACAGAGAGACAGAGAGAGACAGAGAGACAGAGAGAGGGGGAAGGAGTGAGACAAAGAGAGAGAGAGAGAGAGAGAAAGAGAGAGAGAGAATTGTTTCACATACTTAAATATCTAGAAGCAAACCCTATCTCCCCTCATGGCCCTTACTTCTCTGGTAGGAAAATACTGTCTCATCCGCAGACATCTCACAAGCAGGGTAGATCAGTAGAGAACAAATTAGGAAAAGAATCAGAAATATTATAAATCATAAAAATATTGTCCTCAAACACTCATTGGTGATCATTTAGGTGGGGGAGGAAGGGAGACCATTTCTAGCCAAGAAATATGTGTGCAAGGGAATTATAGAAAAATTGTGAAGCTGGTTGTGCAACAGGCCGATGTAGTAGATCCCAGAGAACAGGGAAAACATGCTGTACAATGTAAGGATGGACAGGCAAGGGCTCCTCTACCCAATTACAAATGTTGGTTTTATTCTGCTAACTCTGAGAAGACATTTATGTGCTTTAGACGGATGAAGATAAGTTGGCCACAGAGGCACTCCCAATGATGGAACTTTGGCCTCATCACCAGGTGTTAGGACCTGTGCGGCCAGTGTTGCTGGTACAGATGACCCTGTCCTAAATCCCCATCCCCAAGGTCACCTACATTCCCATCCCCATCCTCATCCCATCTGCATTCCCATCCACAGCCATCGCCATTTGCACCCCATCTCCATTTGCATCCCCATCATCACATCTGCGTCCCCATCATCACATCTGCATCCCCATCATCACATCTGTATCCCCATCATCACATCTGTGTCCCCATCATCACCACTGCGTCCCCATCATCACATCTGTGTCCCCATCATCACCACTGCGTCCCCATCATCACATCTGTGTCCCCATCATCACCACTGCGTCCCCATCATCACATCTGCGTCCCCATCATCACATCTGCATCCCCATCATCACATCTTCATCCCCATCATCACATCTGCATCCCCATCATCACATCTGCATCCCCATCATCATATCTTCATCCCCATCATCACATCTGCATCCCCATCATCACATCTGTGTCCCTGTCATCACCATCTTCATCCCCATCATCACATCTGCATCCCCATCATCTCCATCTGCGTCCCCATCATCACATCTGTGTCCCTGTCATCACCATCTTCACCCCCATCATCACATCTGCATCCCCATCATCTCCATCTGCGTCCCCATCATCACATCTGCATCCCCATCATCACATCTGCATCCCCATCATCACATCTGCATCCCCATCATCACATCTGCATCCCCATCATCATATCTTCATCCCCATCATCACATCTGCATCCCCATCATCACATCTATGTCCCTGTCATCACCATCTGCATCTCCATCATCACATCTGCATCCCCGTCATCTCCATCTGCAGTCCCAGTTGTCCATTGTTCATTGATAAGCAGATTGTCTGTGTCATTGGTGCTACTCAGAAGGTGGTTTTGGTTTTAATTTTCTCATCTGACATAGGTTTCAGGTGTGTGTGTGTTCTCATTTTCACACACTAGTGTATGAACCAGAAGCAGTTCTTTCACCAACTCTGCCTTAACTAACTGTAGTTCACAATAGTGTAAACACATCCAGACTCATGGATCTGCTAATGTTATGTGTCTAAACAAATTGGTGAGTGAGCAAGTGATGGCTCTTTAGTAGAAATGACATTGAGTTCTTCATGAATTTGCATGCCATCCTTGTGCAGGGGCCATGCTAATCCCTGCATCGTTCCAATTTTAGTATATGTGCTGCTGCAGCAAGCACAACACTGAGTTCTTATAGGTCACTCTGTTGGTCAGTTAGCTCAGGTTCCATGTGTTTGCATTGCTAAGGTCTTACATTTCTCAGTGTTAAGAGTAGGCAGTAGGCCTTTTCTGTCTGCTTTGGGTAAAATTTCAGGCTCTATGCTATGTAGAGCAAGACTCACTTCCAAAGTAGAATTGCCATTCCATAGTTGTTCCTATATTGAACTAGCCATTTGTTTCAATTTCCCATGAGGGATTTTTATAGATTATACTGAAACCAGTTTTCCATCTTAACCTTTTATTCGTAACAGAGCTTCTAGTGTTGAAAATGAGTGGGTTAGAAAGCGTATACTACATACCCACACATATATTTTATTTAAAATCCTATTAGGGGTACTTTGGGCAAATCAGAATTATTTGTTCCTTTTAGAACGTCATGTCCTCCATGCCAACTCATTGCACACACACACACACACACAGAGAGAGAGAGAGAGAGAGAGAGAGAGAGAGAGAGAGAGAGAGAGAGAGAGAGAGAGAGCGCAAATCTGGGTAGAATTATAAAAAAATTTCTGACCGTGCTAACGAATGCTGACGTCTACTGTCTTGTGCCTTTATTTTTTAGTTCTCACCTCCATTCTTGGGTAGTCTAAAATACTTGTTAGAAGGTGCAGTATTAGCCAAGCATGACACATGTCTTAAGCCCAACTCCTGTGAGGCCAAGGCAAGGGGAACGCGGATGTGGGAGGAGCCTGAGACCCAGCAAGTCCCAGGCCAATGTAGAGTGAGACTGAGTCCAGGAACAGTCCTGAGCCCCCAAGAGCTGCAGGGTATCTTTGGCTGTTTAATGAGTAAGTCTAATGCCTTCTGGGCCTCGGGTGTTCTTCAGAACAGCAGGGACCGAGAGTGAACGATGTGAAGTTCCTCTTCTCACTGCACATGTACGCTAGTGTTTGGCTTCACGAGTCGGCCAGTGGATCCTGAGTCTCAGGAAGAAAGAGAAATGGACTTGAAGGAGAATGGGAGGTAGCTAGGGAGTGTTAGAGGCTTTGTGATATTCAGAAGGCACACACGTTATAATAAGTTAATCTCCGCTGTGTGGTGGTGGTGCACATCTTTAATCCCAGCACTCGGGAGGCAGAGGCAGGTGGATCTCTGTGAGTTCAAGGTCAGCCTGGTCTACAAAGTGAGTTCGAGAACAACCAGTACTGCACAGAGGAACCCTGTCTTGTAAAACAAACTAAAAGATTATCTTCGCTAAATACTTATCTCTACCTCTTAGTGGTTACCCGTGACTAATATTAGATATTAAATTCTTATATTTGTTTCATTCATGTGTATGTGCATGCATAGGCATGTAAGCATGCCATGGCATGCATGTAGAGGTCAGAGGACAGGCATGAGCGTTAATCCTCTCCATCCATGTAGGTTTCAGGCATCAAATTCAGGTCTTCTGTCTTGGACAAACTCCTTTATTGGCTCAGGTCTTCTGTTGTTGCCGAACAAACTCCGGAGCTGTCTTGCCAGCTTGACATTTGTGTTTTAATTATTCCTTGAGTTCAGACAGGTTAGGATATTTTCACAATCTGATTTTTTCTTGGGATGTCCTGTAGTCACACTTTTTTAAGGAAATCCTAGGTTTGGGACTCATTAGTTCCCATCTCGAGAGAAGACAGCACCTGGCCAAATGGCTGTGGTATTTCAGCACCTTAGCGGTTTTTCTCTCCTCTCATGGGTTATATTTTTTACATTAGTGTATTCAAACAAATGCAATGTCTTATATAATACTAATTTTTTTGTTTTTTTCAAGACAGGGTTTCTCGGTGTAGCTTTGGAGCCTATCCTGGCACTCGCTCTGTAGACCAGGCTGGCCTCAAACTCACAGATGTCCTCCTGCCTCTGCCTCCCAAGTGCTGGCATTAAAAAAGGTGTGACACCCCCCCCCTTTTTTCAAAACTCGTCTATACACATGCCAGTTAGACGGTTTTTGTTTGTTTGTGTGTTTTCTTTTTCTGTTAAATGGCTTCCTTAAGAAAGAATGTTTGAGGTTGGAGAGATGATAGCTCATGATTAGCACAGTTGCTGCTCTTACAGAGGACTCAGATTCAGTTCCCAGTCCCCACATGGGGCTCACAACCATCAGTAACTACAGTTCCAGGGAATCCAGCGCCCCCCCTCTGATCCCTAATAGCACGGCACATACATTATATACTTACATGGCGGAAAATCACCCATATACACAAAATAAAGTAAAAATAAATCTTTAAAAATTAAAAAAAGGAAAAGAATGGCTATGTCCATACAAGGAAATGAAGTACATGAAAATGGCATAAAGGAACTTTCTATTTTGCCTCCTAACTAAAAATTAATTAACTTTTAAAAAAATGAAGTCTATTTCAGTCCAAATATTCTTGAGGATTTGATTTGTAATTGGGGGGTTGTTTGTAATCTGAGTAGATGCTGAGCTTGCTGAGGTCATTCATGACCTGCCTGTGCTCATGCCGTGTAAGCTGATGCTGCCTGTCAATGCAGCCTCTTGGTTTATGAATCAGAGCAGAAGTTGTGTCAAAACAGGTAAACTGTTAGGAGGCATTGTCTGGGGTGGGGGTTGTCTTTTTCCTACGATCTGACTCAGGGTGCATAGCTCTCCACTCTTTGTGGTTTATTATCCAATCCTGACATCCCTAGGGACCATGCTCCTCCATAGCACCTCATCCCTGAGTCTTTTGTCAGCTTTTCTTGGCTGCTCTGTATCCATAGCTACTGCTCGAGCTGTAGAGGTCCGCCCTCTCCCAGTGGCCCCTTTCATCACTGAGCGCTGTGCTCCTCAGACCTGGCATTCACCCTGCCCTTGTTGCCAGCCTGGTCCTGTCTTCAGTGATTGTTTCATCACTCTGGGTGGTAGTCTGTTCCAGCTGGCTGTTTCAGCCGGGACCTGCTTTGAGGGTAGGCAGTCTGGCAGATCCTCAGTTTGCAGGCTTCACATATGATAGCCTGATGGGAGCCATTCTCTAGGAACTACCCTGACAGTTAATCCTTTCAGTATCTCTGAAATTAGGTGTGAGTTGGACCATGTGACCTCCTCAAAGTATAGGTTCCATATCTGTAATGAACCAAAAAATGATTGAAACATCTTTGTATGACTTATCACCATGATTAAATAAGCAATAGGAAGCACGTAGTCTGACATGTGATTGGGTCCAATAAATATAACTTCCCAACCATATTGCCTATTTATTACCTGAAATACAAACACAGAAGTATGATATTAAATAAACTGTCACATGTTCTATATAACTATGCACTCTTTGACTTTCTTCAAGCCCATAGAATGTAGTTGGGGTTTTTTTTGTTTGTTTGTTTTTGTTTTTTACTCTATCTCCGTTATGGAAACTTTCTTTTTTTTTTTTTCGAGACAGGGTTTCTCTGTGGCTTTGGAGGCTGTCCTGGAACTAGCTCGTGTAGACCAGGTTGGTCTTGAACTCACAGAGATCCGCCTGCCTCTGTCTCCCGAGTGTTGGGATTAAAGGCATGCACCACCACCGTCCGGCTTTATAGGAACTTTCTAATATGAATTGTGGTTTCATTTTAACTTTTTAGCATTTTTGTATCAGTGGGGTATACTTCTTAGGGGTTATGGTATATCTCTGTGGGATCATTAATGATTCCTAATAGCCACTAGACTTTTTGATGGATTGGGCTTTATATTAGTGCTACTGTTTCCTGTCCTTCTGTTTGCTCACCCTCACAACTCAGAATGTTTGCACTAATTGAGTGTGTTCAACCGACCCTTCTTAGGTTCACTTTACTGTCTTGCTTTGTAGTTGAGTCTGTGACAGACCATGTGACTTGAGAACATTAGTGTTTGGAGTCTTATTAGAGTATTGCTTCTTTGTTAATCTCTTTGGGGTAACAGTCTGGCTTCCAAGAAAGTCTTCTCAGTGTGGTGGCCCCTGGCATTTGAATAACCTAGTGTCATGACCATGCTCAGAGCCCTGGTAGGATAAACATGGAGAGCACATTGTTTACGACATGTTTTAGAGTTCGGGTCTCAGAGATAACTTCTGTGACCTGTGTGAGCATTTCTGGACTGCTCTGAAACTGCAGATGCGATACTACAGAAGCCTTTTTGCTTACTATGGTAGATGAGCACATTGTGAGAATATGCAAATACCAGTCTTAGGCCTCAGCTACTGTATGGCAAAGGAGTCTTCTAACCAGCCTTCACTGAGCTCTTGCCAGTGTGGCCACTGGAAGCAATAAAACTCCCCATTCTGTATTATTTCCTTTAATTATCATGCTAAGGGATGGGTTTCCTGATAGCATTTAGGTACAAATGTTTCCACAAATATGATTTCATTTTTCTTTGTGGCTGAATAAAATGTCATCTGTATACGGCCACGCTTGTCCATTAACTTGTATGCATCTAGACTAGTTGCAGTGCCCAGCTATTATGACTAGGGCAACAGTAAACATGGATGGGCAGTCCCTCTATCTGTTCTAGGTTGCTTTGGGGGTATACACAGGGTTGGTATATCTGGGCCTTATGGTAATTGTTTTTAGTATGAAGAGTCTTTGTACTGATTTACACAGTACTTTCCAGTTGGCATTCTTATCAGCCGTGTATGAGAGTTCCACTTTCCTCACACCCTCAGCAGCTTTGATTGTCATGGCTTTTCTCAATAGCTGATGAGATGGAATCCCATGGCAGTAGTTTGGCATCTACCCTTTGCCTAACAATATCAATACTTCTTTAAATATTTATTGACCATTTGTTTTTCTGTTTAGAGCTGTCTGTTCATCGCTCTGTTTACTGGTTGGATGACTTGTGTTTTGCTGTTTAATTTTTAAAAATTCTTTATGTACTCTAGGAATCAACCTTATGTCTGATGTATGGTTGGCAATGATTTTTTTCCTTAGAATTCTGTAGGTTGTCTACTTTTGTGATTATTTCTTTTGCTATGCTGAATCCTTCTCATTCTATGGAAATATGATTTGTCAATTCTTGTGGTTGTTGCCTGT